GAGAAGGAGTGCCCTCGATCCAAGCGTATTGGGCAAAAAGTATTGAATCGCATGCACGCCAATGAAAACTGCAATTAGCTCAGCACGGAATATCGTCGCAAATCTGCCACCACTCGTCATCAGGTGCAGGGAGCAGGAGGATACGCGCTTCACATATATCCGTAGTCCCAACAGGCGTCGCGGAAAGTTGCGCAGGACTTCTTCGGTGATCGCATTGCGTGTCACGATGAGGCAGCCAGAGCCAGTGTTCTGTTCACGTGGCGCTTTAGACGCATCCGTGAAGACGGTGACGTCTCGATCAGGCAGCGACTCAAGGGAGAGTTCGAACGACTTCCGTTTTTGGGCAGCACTGGAAGATTTCGAAATACCCGGACACGTAGTAATGATGTGGATTGAGTCTGGGACTTCAAGGGAAGAGCACGAGGTCGGAGGCAAGAGATTCTGCGGACGCACGTTCAATAGCCCAGTCGAAGCGAGTTCTTCACGAGCTGCATGGGACCACGTTGTCGGAGCCGGGAGATATCTGACACAGATATCATGGCCACGTGTTCGCGGAAGACGTCGTATTCGTTCATACAGCGTGCACAAAAGTTTAGTGCGGTAAATCTCCAGAGGAACTACGTCAGCTTCGAGGCAGAGAGAGTGCGTTGATGTTGAGGTTGGGAGCCCTGTGATGATGCGAAGGGCACGGTGGTGGTCCATTTTCATCAGGTGAAAATCATGATTCAGCAGGCACGGACCGTACACGCCAATGCCATAGAGGAAGACGGGGAGAACGTACGCAAGGTAGAGGGATCTGAGTGACCTCGATTGAGCTGAGGTAATTGCGTTCGCGATGCTCTTCATGTTGGACAGTCTTGCGTTAAAGCGTAACCGGATGTTCGAGACATGATCAGTGAACGTCAGGCTCGAGTCAAAGATGACCCCTAGGAAGCGCGCAGATCTAACATTTGAGAGCAGCGGGGCGGACGTAAGGAGGACGTTTTGGAAGGCATAGAGCGGATCACGGATAGTTGCAAGGCTTGTAACATCTAAACCATTGCACTGGAGGATTCGGTGGCCATCAATAGACGTGAGGTGTGGGTCGTTGAACTTTTTTGCCTTGGCCGAGAGGCGAAATGTACAAGTCGCAGCGTCAATGAGATCAGAAGGATGCAGGCCGAGATCACTGAAGACCTGAAGCGAGAGTCGGGAGTTGGCAGCGGTTGATGGGAAGTGAACAGCAATGGTCGTAATGGGATCAGACGGAAGTACCGGGTAATAGATGAGATGCGTCTTGCTCACCGACATGTCCATCTGAAACTCCTGTGCCCACTCATCGACGACAGCGGTGACTTTTTGGGCAAGTGTCTGCAATTCTTCATCAGAAAAGGCGCTGCAGACAACCGCTAGATCATCAGCAAAGAGCGTGAAAACCAGACCGGGAATGAGGGCTTCGAGTCTCTCAGCCAACGGGTCAATGTAACAGAGGAAGAGGGTTGGAGCCAGCACAGTCCCCTGGGGAACACCTTTCACGATGCTAAAGAATTTACCTAGTACCCCATTCACCTTGGCAGCCGCGCGGCGGCCATGCAGAAAGTGCAAGATCCAACGTTTCAAACGCCCCGAAATGGACTTCGCGCCAAGCTGGTTTCCCAGTATGGTCTTATCGACCTTGTCGAAAGCCTTCGATATATCCAGGAGTAGAAGCGCAGACTTCTTTCCTGCAACGCGTGCTTGGGCCAAAGCGTGTTGTACAGTTCCTATTTGCTCTTCTGCGGAGCGCCCCTTCTGGAATCCTGCTTGCGACGGGTGGATTGGACTGTCCAGCAGCGCCCGGTTGAGACGAACCAGTACCATCCTCTCTGCCAGTTTCGCAACGCAGCTTGTCAAAGCGATAGGGCGATAAGAGTCAACGTTCTCCGGTGTCTTACCAGGTTTAATCTGCATCAGAATGTGCGCCTCTTTCCAATTGGGAGGCACAACTCCCTTTGACCACGTGAGGTTTATCAGCCGCAACAAAACTTGCTTTGAGCGATCGCCAAGGTGGATGAGCATCAGGTTATTGACCCCATCAGGGCCAAGGCTGGTCGAAGGTTTGAGTTCAGCAATAGCCGCGTCAAGCTCCGACGGAAGGAATGAGAAGTCCAGTTGGTGAGTAGAGGAGTCAATCGGCAAAGTGTTCGTTTGCCCTGAGCATGTAGCTGCTAAGTGGCTGCCCATTTCTGATGCCTTTGCTCTGTCGTCATACTCAAATTGACCATTAATAAGGAGTGGTGGGATAACAGGGTCATTCTCCACATCATCAGCGGACTGCATTAGCCTGTGAAAGTCAGACATGGTGGAGGTTCGGGAAAGCGAGGCTGCCGTCCTGCTAATGTGATCAGACTTGGCTTGGTTGATGAGGCGATTTATCTTCTGCTGTGCGGCCTTGAGCTGGATTCTAACGTCATCAGGCGGTCTGTTACGATCAGCAAGGTCTGCGCGTAGACGATCCCTTTCTTCAATCGCAGTACGCACTTCGCTGGTGAACCAGGCATGACCACGTCTGGATGTCGAAGTCGGTATATGGCGATCCCTAGCAGCACGTAAGGACGCCGAGAAGCGTTTGGATATTTGAGCAATGTCGTTGACCGGGAGGCCTTCAAGCAGTAGGTCAGCAGAAGAGCCAAAAGCTTCCCAATCTGCCTTGTTCCACCTGAACGGCTTCGGCTTCACTGTAGGACGGGTGAGATTGGAGGGAATGTTGAGAATCATTGGTGCGTGATCGGAACCTCCATTTACGTCGAGCGTCTTCCATGTGAAATCTAGGCCGTGCGGTGAAAGAACCAAGTCAGGCGATGTCGACGAGTGTGGTCGAGTTGATACAGCAGGATTGTTGCAAACAGTCAGGTCGGAGCAAAGGATCCAGTTCGCGAGAGACGAACTCCGCGTGTTTGGAAGTGATTGTGCCTCCCAGAGCGGGTGGTGCAAGTTGAAATCACCAGCAATAACAGCATTGCTGAACGGGAGATACTGAGGATCAAAGTGATCTGTACGCGAGTCATGTCTAGAGTAGGGCGGTATGGGTGGTTTGTAGATATTGACAGCTAAGAGTCTTCGGTCGTCAGGTAGAGCGAGTTCAACATCAAGTCGTTCCGTCGCATCGTCGGCGCAGGGAGAGCTGTAGACAAGACGCCGGTACGCGATAGTGTTCCGAACAAGGGTGATTAGCCCTCCACTTACTCTACGACTGCTGGAGCCCGGGTTACGTTCAATTATTCTGGCTTGTTGCTCAACGTTGAAACCAAGTACGGTCACTGTAACGTCGGAGGGGAGGTTGGTTTCTTGTAAGAGTACAACATCAATGCCGTGCTTGGCAATTAGATCCAGAATAAAGTCACGTCTCCGGACCCAGCTATTGCAGTTGAAAATTAGAAAGCGAAGTCCGAGGTAACAGGCTGTTGTCACCGGGCCAGGGTGGGGGTGAATATCACCACATCTCAGTAGTAGCAGGCCGTGTGGGTTCGTCCGCGGGGAGCACGAGGTACAGCTTCTGGAACTCAAGAAGGGGATACGTGGACAGTTGTGGGTGGAGTCAGGATCTAGTTTTGTTTGGAAAGCTCGGCGATGATAGGCAGGAGATGGTTTAGAATCCAAGTTTCGTTGCAAGCTGGGTCACTTGGCGGAGTTGTTGTGAAGCTTCGGGCCTTTCTTCGCAGCAGCCAAGGACTTAGTCTCGGATTCCGGAGAAGTCGAATCTCTGCTTCTTTTCGGTCCAGTCTTGGCGCTCTGAATTTGGGCCCTCGGGGAGTCGGTGTTGGTTACGGCGGTGTTGTTTTTCTTCATTCTTATTTCAGTCTGGAGGTCAGTGAACATCGAGCGCATCTCAGAGTGACTGCCTTCGACGACACCTTTCAGTGTTAAGGCCATATTCGCCGAGAGAGACTCTACAGCCGCGACAAGGTCCCCTTTGATCTCGACACGCAGCTCGTCCATCTTCCTCGAGCTCTCCTTTTCGAGGGCAGTGATAGAGCGTTGCTGATGATTCAGCGCTCTCTCGAGGTCTTCCTTCGTAACATACTTCGAGGGACTGAGGGTTGTAGCGGAGGGCGACGCTGCTGCAGCTGACTTGGAGGCCACAAGAGCAGCTGAGTACGACTTGGTGATGGTATGGTTTGGTCGGTCGGAGGAGGACAGACTCAGCTTAACGCCGTCGACTTCAAATGCAGAGGCAGTCTGCGGGGTCAGACTCTTGACATGCCAGAATTGGCCCGCTTCGTCGTTCCCCGGTCGGATCGGTGTCGATTCCCATCCAGCTTTTCCCAATGCCTTCGTCAGCTGGCTCTTGTTTACGTTCTCCGGTGCACCGCGAACCTTGTAGTAGTGGGTCGTATCGGGCGTCCCTTCGAGTATTGCCGCCACCCTCTCTTGCTCGGCCGCCTCAACGCGGAGTCCAAGACCAAGTTTCGTCACTACAAGGCCCCAGTGCTCGACTCCACTCGCTTCGACCTTCGTCCACACTTCCGCGGCGTTCTCCCGTTTGTCGTCCCCGTTCAGCCACACCATCGCAAATTTGCGGCGTTGGTCATAGGTGCTTCTGTTCATTAACTGATTGGTGAACAGAGCTTCCCTACCAGAAGCCCGCAACAAGCCTTCGATGACCGGAACCCTGTCGAAGTAAAGGGCATAGTACACCCTGGAGCCGGGCTCCCCCTTCACCTTTGGCTGGACAACTCGTCCTTCAGATCCAAGTATGCAGGACAGGCGCTTTTCGATTTCCTTGGCGATGCTCCCATGTTGAATTTGACCTGAGACAGCCTCGTGCAGCTGGAGGACAATTCCAGCCTCTTTGTCAGCAGTCCAAACGTTGGACATATTACCGGTCGGAGTTCGTGACAACTGTCTTTGTTACTAACGTTTTTTCTTGGGCACGAAATCGTTCTCTACCGTTGGCCTAATAGATTACGTACTGTATTGGACACGGTGTGAGACAACCAATAAAGTACAGAAACTGTAGCTTTTAAATCGTTGGCCCCGTGGCAGACGTACCCAAGTGGTTACGGGGCTCGCCTGCTAAGCGAGTGTGCTCTGCATGCGCAGGTTCAAACCCTGCCGTCTGCGTTTTTCCTGTCTGCGAAAACGGGCTAATTCCAGTGTGAGACTTAGCTATACCACCGGGCTGGTGCCCATTACGGGCTAATTATAGCACATTTTCTTAACTTTGTGCCCATTATAGAACTATTCTTAACTTTTTGCCCATTATAGAACTGTTCTTAACTCCATTATAGAACTATTCTTAACTATATCACCCATTCCACGAAAAAGTGTCACAGATTTTCCGTCTGAAAAGCAGCCCGTTTTGGGTCAAAATTTTGGAATTTTTGGGAAATTTTTTTTGGGATGGAAAGAGCTATCCCTGGCGATTATGGGCAAGCAATCAGCTCGCGTGGCGACCAAAATCTGGCGTGCAGATGGACAAAAGGTCGGTTTTGGGGCTGTTTCAAAAACCCAAAAAAACGATTTCCGGTGGGAACGACCCTCAAACCCCTGTGTGGGTGTGGTATCCTCTGGACCATGGGCTAAAAAAAACGGCGGGAATCTTTTTGTTCACTACCGAGTGAGAATTTTTGGACTCATTTTGAGTTCTTCGCAAACCGGGCGAAATAAGCTCTGAGAGAGCAGAAATACCGTCCTGGGACACTGGAAACGAGTAAATGACGATCTCGCACTTTCCGATAAGAATTCCAACTGAGCAGGCGCTAAAAGCGAATTTTGGCCCGAGGTTTGGCAACATAGCCAAACGGTTACCTCACCCTCCTGGACGGGTCAATTCCCATTCACGAGCAATCTTTAACTTTTTGCCCATTCACGAGCATGGCTTAACTTTTTGCCCATTCACGAGCATGTTTCAAACTTTTTGCCCATTCACGAGCACCTTAAACTTTTTGCCCATTCACGAGCATGGCCTAACTTTTCGCCCATTCACGAGCATGGCCTAACTTTTCGCCCATTCACGAGCATGGCCTAACTTTTTGCCCATTCACGAGCATGCTCAAAACTTTTTGCCCATTCACGAGCATGCTTCAAAATATTTGCCCATTCACGAGCATGTTGCAGACCTTTTTGCCCGTTCACGAACTTTGTCTACTCACGAGCTATTCTTAACTGCACAAAGAGCGCGAAGGAAGTCTGCTGTTCTCTCCTGCAACTTGGGTCCCCAACTTGGGCCCCAAACTTGGGCCCCAAACTTGGGTCCCAAACTTGGGTCCCAAACTTGGGTCCCAAACTTGGGTCCCAAACTTGGGTCCCAAACTTGGGTCCCAAACTTGGGTCCCAAACTTGTGTCACAAACTTGGGTCCAAAATCTTGGTCAGGACTGCAGATCTAACAATGTGGACTATAATGGCAAAATCTAAGGAACATGGACTATAATGGCAAAATTTACTGGGGGGGGGTCGAATTCAGGAGGTACCTTGAATAGAAGAGGTACCTTGAATACAAGAGGCATTTTGGAAATCTGGAAAAAAGTTGGATTTTTTCTTGGTCCGCATAACAGACCTTTTTCGACGGTTTTCTGATCGCGATGAGCTCCGATGAAGAGAACCGCGAAAAATAGACCCGGGGACCAAGAATTATGTGCGTGGTTCGTGGGTCTTTACCAGATGCGGGGCACCGGGCGTGGAACCCACAGGTTTGCAATGGAAAGGACGGAAATCGACCCACTGGTTGGTGACATTTCTTTGCAGGCCCGTGCAGCAGACCTTTTCCGGCGAATTTGTGCTCGCGTTCAGCTCCGATGAAGAGAACCGTGAAAAATAGACCCGGGGACCACAAATTACGTGCGTCTTTCAAGAAGAAGGGAGTTCCCGCGGTTTCCGGGTTTGCGGTACTTTTTTCCATTTCTTTTTCGGGAAAATTGCAGGATCGGCACGCCGAATAGAAGAGGTACCTCTTGTATTCGACCCCCCCCAGTAAGAATCGTGGACTATAATGGCAAAGTTCCCGGCTTTGCGACCGCACAGGCTCATGCCTAATATGCGGCAGCCTAACAAACCCGATGAAGAAAAAGTGGTAAAGGTGACCATGGCCATCTCCATTCTTCTCCGCGCCGGGAAGCTCCCGCACCGGCCCAGAGCTCAACCTTTTTACAAAGGGAGCCGAGGGCCAGAACAGGAACTTTGACGCGAAAAAAAATGGCGAGGGGGTGAGCCCGAGAGGGGGCATTTTAGCGGGCGAGGGGTCACCTCGCGACGAAATCTCAAAGCTTGTCTCCCTTGATTCCCAGTCAACGACAACACAATCCTGGTTCAATCCTGGTTCTGCAAGGGGTACTGTTCAGGATGTGTCTAACTTGCTCTAAGTCAGTGAGTTGCAGTAGTTCTTGGACTCGAGATTCGATTTTTCAAATGACCAAACAAGGAAACCGTACACCGCGAGAGTAGGAAAAACGTAGAAAGGGAAAGTTTTTTTATGGTAACAACCGCGGTTGTCATTATCAAAAAGTGACGGTTGGCAGCGTACTGTGGAAATTACCATACAGGTGATACACATACGCACAAACAAACGGCTGTGCGTAAATAATAAGAGCCACGTCACTTTTTTTTGACCGCACTACCCTGAGCCAAATCCTGGACGTGGTTTCAGGTGGTAAATTTGGCAAATGATCATGATCAGAAGGTCCTACTTGGGCGGTTCAGTTTCCTCACACATTGCATGTGGCTAAGAAAAAAACTCAAAGGGCGAAATACATCTGTCAGAGCAGGCCGGTGTCAATACCCAAAGTACGGTAATACCCAAAACGCCGTTTTAAACGGGCCGACTTTCATCATGGTCGGCGACGCAAAACTATTAGGAAACACTTGAAGAAGGAAACGTAATTGAGAAAAACGGGATCGTCGGAAACACAAAACAGAACTGGACAGTCATGACATGCACGACTGAGCTGTTGAGAGATCCGTATCACCGAATGGGAGCGACAGAATTGAACTGATCCTGCTCTAAGCTGAACGGCTGAAAGTTTGAACTCGCCTACACGTGTAATGTGCACTCGGTAGCTTGAGCCAATTTGACTTATGGCAAGTTATGCTTGAATTCTCGTGATTGGGCAAAAAAAATAAGAATACTCGTGGAGGGCAAAAAGTTTTGAGCATGCTCGTGAATGGGCAAAAAGTTTTGAGCATGCTCGTGAATGGGCAAAAAGTTTGAAGCATGCTCGTGAATGGGCAAAAAGTTAGGCTATGCTCGTGAATGGGCTAAAACTATTGAGGAATGCTCGTGAATGGGCTAAAAAAAAAATCATGCTCGTGAATGGGAATGGCAGTGCTCGTGAATGGGCGAAAAGTTAAAACATGCTCGTGAATGGGCAAAAACTTCGAGAATGCTCGTGAATGGGCGAAAAGTTCAAGCATGCTCGTGAATGGGCAAAAAGTTTTGAGAATGCTCGTGAATGGGATTTGACCCCCTCCTGGACCCCTGTAGCATGGTTCGATTCCCCCGGTCCGATTTTTTTTTTTTGCGATTTTTCGGTGTGAAAAGCAGCCGTCTGGAAATTATTTTCGAGGTCTTTTTGGGAAATCTTTTGGTTTTCGAGTAGTTCTGGGATGCGCGATTATGGGCAAGCTGCCAGCTAGCCCAGCGATCAAAATCTGACCCCCTCCTGGATGCAGAGAGAAAAAAAACCGATCTCCAGGACCCCATTTTTTCGGGTGCCGACCTCCATTTCCGGTGGGGGGGTCGGTCAAAATTTTTATCCAACCAAATATTCGGAAAGCCCTGTCCTCAACGGATTCAAACGTGTCCTCAAAATCTCGAAACCGACCATTTTCGGACCTGCAGATGGAAGTTTTCGGCAGAAATCCGAAAAAAGCCGAAATCTGTGACACTTTTTCGTGGAATGGGTGATATGCCCATTCTCGATAACTTTGTGCCCATTATAGAACATTCGCTAACTTTTTGCCCATTATAGAACATTCGCTAAAAATCGTCACTTCGGGGACTCGATACCACAACCTTCAGGACGGGTTTTGGTCTAAATCTGGTCCAAAACTTGAACAGCACGGTTTCCTGAGTTTGTGCCTACTTTTCTCAACTTTGGACCCAAGTTTGCCAAGACTCGTGGCAAGAGTAAGTTCAAGTTTGTGTTAGCACGCAGGCGGTACTCTGCATCGCCGACGTGGTAGAAGAGACCTGCACACGGGTTTATTACTCTTCGTACGTGATGTTTGCTTTCACGTCTCGATCGTCGCGACCAGCATTGTTCCCAAACTTGGGTCCAATGGTTGGATTTAGTCCAAATCTTGGCCGCGACTTTGGGTCCAACTTGGACTCCAAGTTTTGGGTCCGAGAAAAGCTGGGTGAAAGTCGGCTGAAGGAGTTGCCAAGTCTTCGAATCAGCTGTTTTTCGCAGGAAGATGCTTGCAACCAACGCGGAGGAGTCGGTTCTGCAACTGGGCATCAACGCTGTTGACAACGGCAGCAGGAAGTGACGAGCCTATGAAATCCATTCAAGAATGGGGTGAAATACCAAAACAGTACGGTTTCCTGAGGTTGTGCCCAAAACTTGGGTTCCAAACTTGGGTCCCAAACTTGGGTCCCAAACTTGGGTCCCAAACTTGGGTCCCAAACTTGGGTCCCAAACTTGGGTTCCAAACTTGGGTTCCAAACTTGGGTTCCAAACTTGGGTCCCAAACTTGGGTCCCAAACTTGGGTCCCAAACTTGGGTCCCAAACTTGGGTCCCAAACTTGGGTCCCAAACTTGGGTCCCAAACTTGGGTCCCAAACTTGGGTTCCCAAACTTGGGTTCCAAACTTGGGTTCCAAACTTGGGTCCCAAACTTGGGTCCCAAACTTGGGTCCCAAACTTGGGTTCCAAACTTGGGTTCCAAACTTGGGTTCCCAAACTTGGGTTCCAAACTTGGGTCCCAAACTTGGGTTCCAAACTTGGGTCCCAAACTTGGGTCCCAAACTTGGGTTCCAAACTTGGGTCCCAAACTTGGGTTCCAAACTTGGGTCCCAAACTTGGGTCCCCCAAACTTGGGTTGGTCATCAATAGACGACAACCAGTTCAACTTCAAGCGTCAGCTGCCAGAGGCCCAGACTAACACTACCAGACTGCACGCAGCC